GATGCGATAACGCAGCACCGTCGTAATTCAAAGATAGCGCGTTGTTTAACGCGGCAACAGTGGCTCCTTTGTCGAGGCGAGAGCTGAGATCGTTTCACGATCTGGTTTAAGAATTCCACGGCGCGCAAAGCCCGGTTGGAATTCCTAAGGAAAATCCGGAAGCGTCGGCCGCGAGCGACAACTGCTGCAACAACATCAGAGAGCATTTAATCCGGAATGCCGAATGCAAGAGAGAGAGAGAGAGAGAGAGAGAGAGAGAGGGGGAGAGAGAAAGAGCGTATCGGCGCAGCCCCGAGCGATAGATTCGGGCAGTGCGCGAAAACGGGGTTGCAACCCTCTGCTCGAAGTGCACCCTATCCCTCGCCGGGCCATTAATAATATACCCATATTGGACACAATTCACCTTGAAATTAACCGGCAGCCGATTGGTAAGCCCGGGCAAATTGACTTCGAAATTGACAATTTATGGTCGCTCGCTTCCTCTCCCGGTCGCGAGATCTTTTTTCTCGAAACGATCGAATTTTGCCGCGCGCCGCAACGACGATCGTTCACCGCGATCGCTCCGGGGCCCACCGTCTGCCCCGAAATTCCGACGATTCGTAGAGGCCGTACGAAACGATTGGACAAATCGAGGCGTTTCACGGATCCCTCGTCTCGATTTTCTTTTTCCCGTGCGGATGGATCGTTTCTAGAACGGTACACCGAACGTGCGTTTATCGTCGAAGATGCTCGTAAGAATTTTTTGCCGACCGGGGCGAAACGAGATCGCACGAAGGCCGCGCGATGCTCCGAGGGACCCAAAGTCCCTAAACGGCCTATCACGCGAGAATGGGTTGCAATTCCTCCACAGTGTATCGACGTGTCCCTCTTTTCTATTTATCCCGTTCGTCGGTCTCTTTCGTCGTTGGTATCCTTCGACGCGGTCTCGCTCCTCCGACCAACGGCTTCTCTCCGCCGCTGGTGCAACGATCATTAAGGCGGGGAACGATCGGATCGAAGCGTAGCACCTGGCGCGATCATCGCGAATCCCACACGCGATACCCGACCGGACGCGAATCGAGCGCAACGCAAAACAGCTCCGATCTAATCGATCGATCTGCCGCGTCGCACCCTCGATCGATCCCCGATCGTACGCCGCTTATCCGCCAAACTCGATCGATGCGCTTACGGATAAACCCGCGATAAATAACAACCGTCCTCCACGACGATCCGCGACTTTTATTTAAACTTCTCTTTGTTCTTCTCTCTGAAATTGGACATCCAGTCAACTTAAATTCGACTCTTACGCGAGCAAGGCATCGACCAACCCATAGAACGTTACATATTTTCGATACGCAACGATAATCGTCGTTACCTGGAGCCTGCCGGCAATTTACTCTCGGCTAAAAGCGCAATAGAACTTTTTACGGCGAGTAATAATTCCGCGGTAGTTGTGCGTTCCACTTTGCATTTCGTGCCCTGATCGAAACCGCGTGTTTTCGTCGATACTGGTTCTGGCGGTACACGCGGCGTCGAATTCGCAGCTCGATACGTATCTAGCATTCAACGAGGGGTAAAAATATCGGCGCCAAAGAGCCGGTAATCATTGCGTTACGGTATCCTGTCTCGGTGCTCCGTTAGAACCAATCGGGGAATTAATTCTGTCGAGTCGAAACGGAATCTGGTAGCTGCGGGGCCGCCGTGTTGCCGCAACCCGCGCGATTATTACCGATCTCCCGATCTCTCGATCTCTTGGCCAACGGAATCGTGCTACGCGACCACCGCGATTTCGCAACCGGCTTTCTCGATATCCGCGCGATTTTCCCCGCCGGAGATTCGTTCCCCGATTTACGGCCGAGCGCGGAAATTCCCGAAAGCGGCGTTACGCGTTCCGAAAGTAACCCTGGAATTTTCACGGAAACAAGATTTACGATTCGACGGTTACGGAGTCTGTGCCGATACGCGCGATCGGCTGCAAAAGTCGATCGTGGCCGCGCGGGAACTTTCTCGATCGAAATTACTCCACGAATTGAAGAAGCATACCGTATGGGGTGGTTTCTCGTAAGAAAATAGATCCAACATTGTTGTGTATTCGAAACCAAGCTAGGCGAGTTGGATAAATGTGACGTATATTAAAGAGAAAGGACCCTTGTCTCCGCGAGTGAGGAAAATGTAGACAGTGTCGATTAATCTTAGCTTAGATGCAGGCCTCACGGAGGCTGATTGAATCGTCCGACCCAATACGACTCACAATTCCTTCCAAGATTGATCTTTGTCCCTAGGATACATCTGGTATGGGATGATTAATCAAATTTGAACGGATCTGTACGTAAAAAGTATTGAAGAGCACGATTTGCTGAAGAAATGCAAGTTCCGACGGTGACCTCAAAGTCGATACCTCGTTGCAGTGTATATCGTCGGTCACCCATGATCGATGCGGACGAAAAGTTTACCGTCGGTTATCCATGACCTACACAGACGCTTGACGTGTTAATATACGGCTAGGGGCTCGATCAAAGTTGGGCTGGCTTCCTTCAAACCAGGCAAAGCTCGTTCGAATCATTTTTGCGTATCGTCGTACTGGATTCTTTACTCGTACTCTTCGAAGTCTATCAAAATCTGAACGAATTACCCGGGTGATCTGTCTTAAAGGGATCATCTTTTCGGGAAATATCGATCTGGGTCGAAAATCTGTAGCCAGAGGGGGTGTATTATGGTATTACCTTGACGGCGAAAGGGTTCTGGGACGTCCCGTCAGGTTCGTAGCGCGCGTCTCGATCGGATCGAAGGCGGAGGAGAAGAAAGGGATCCATCGGAGGTTTTCTTATTTCGCCGGTAGACTCGTACGCAAACAAGTACGTATTATGCGGGTCTAAGCGTCGGAGAGTGCGTTCTTGTTTTCGGTGTAACCCGAAGCTAAGCGGTTTAAGAGATCAACGCCGTATAAACCGGCCGTCTGAGAATCGTCTGGAGATCCCGTGCGTGAGAGAAGGCGGAGGGAAAGCGCGAGATGGTGGAAGGTATCGCGAGGAACGAGGAACGAGCGACGGGCGTGAGTGGGAGGGCGCCAAGAGGAACGCAGAACGGAGTACGAGAGATCGACGGGACCGGCGAATCGAGGGAGGATGGGCTGGGGAGACGAGGAGTTGGACGGAGGATGAGGAAGACTCCGAGCAACGAAGAAGCGAAGCGAGAGGGCTGGCAGAAAGACGGGATGAAAAATTAGATTTACAAATCTGTCCTGACTACTATGAGATTGCTCGCTTACCGGGCCAGGGATGCTCATCCGGCGGGCCGGGACGCCGTTTCTGGCGCCTGAGATGGAAATATCGAAAGAATTCGCGCCTTTCGTCGTCGCGATCAATCGTGAATCCGAATCAACGATCACGAATGGATTTCGAAGTTGATTGCACGGGTGTTTGGTATGAAAGTTTGGAACGTGTCGATGGGAATGTCGGTTGGGAGCCACTGGGAGCACATAGACGCTATATCGGGAGCGATGGAAAGGATCCCGCGGCGGGAACAACGAGTCTCGAGCGTTTTCTCGGCGAGAGCAAAAGCTTGAATCACGCGCGTACGCGTATGTACACATTGAGCGGCGTGTGTCCGTGCTAGGCGTGTGCATGGAAGCGCCACTCCGGCGCCTGCTGCCTATGAAAAATGACCGTTCCTGCCAACCGCAGCTTCTCCTCTCCGCAGACCTCGCGAGGATCACCTCGAGATCCTCTACGCGACGAAAACCCTCCAGGCGTTTCCTCCGGATAATGGATGTACGCGATACCCGTTGACAATCGAGAGTTTTACTCCTCGAAGTATTTCCAAATTTGGTCTTCCAGGATCAAAGTTTCTGAAATGGCGTCTGTGCTTGCATCTCTTTCTATTAATCGACGCTTTCGTGTGCTCGTTCCACTCACGATAGAGGAACGCTAGCGCCATCGATCGAGGAACACGCGTCACGTGGTGTGCAAACTAGATACGCGGGAGACTTTGCCTCTACTCGAACCTAACGCTTGGTGTCCATTGGAAAGTCTCGCTATTAAGAATTGCTTTCAGGAGTAAAACTTTCCAATGAATACCTCGTCTAAAGTGTAAAATGCAATGCCAATATATAAACTAAACCATCACTGATTGAATATCAACCAGAAAATGCTTTGGATGGAATATTTCCTAAAGAAGGTCGATGCATCTCCGCAATTTCTTTCCCGATCTCGGTTTTCGAGTCGCGTTCGACGATTCGGCCGGTATTTCAGCGCGCGATAACTCGTGCAAATGCGTTTAGCCTATTTGGTCCGCTCCGTCGTCCCACGCGCTGCTTTATCTTCCCCTCTGTTAGGTTTATCGGTGCAGCGTCGCTACGTATTAGCCGGTATCTTCGCGACTCGTGGGCACTTTCGCTCGCGAGGACGCGCGTGCACGCCGATCGCGAGATTCCGCTTCCCTTTGCTCGCCCCCGAGAACCAGTTCTCGAAACGTACGCTCTCTGCGGACCGACTAGACCGATCGACGCTTCCAGCGGCTAGAACTCGGTCATCGAGTTCTACCCTTCCAGCGCCGCCTCTTTTCGCAAGAAGAGGGCCCGAATAGTCTCGTGGATGCAACGAGTTCGCGAAAAAAGACTCCGACGGACGTTCCTCGACCCTCTCTCGGTGCTGCTGTTGTTCTTAACCCTCGTACGACCGCTTTGGGTCCTCTCTGACCTGTAGCAACGTTTAGCGATAGGATCACGATCGAAAGCGCGAGTAGACAAGTGACTCGGGTTCCTCGTCAAAGGGTTAAATCGTGAACGTACGATCGTTAGCGAAAAGTAGTATAGCGCGCATACGTGGTGGAACAATTGTTCTCCAACAGCTCTGTCGGTAAGAGGGGGGGCAGGGTACGGAAAGCACCGTGTCGCCGGGACGTCTTTTTTCGCGAAACGAAACGAACCACTTGCGACGAGCGTCGTAAGCACGCAGATCGGGGTAAGACGCTACCTCGATGACAGGTGTCTCTAACCACAGTAACTCTCTACCACTGTACAGCTCCAGGCCAGGAAGACCACCGAAGAGAGCCTCCGTCGGCCTCCTCGCAGCCAGCCACCTGGCCGCGGCGACCGGTCACCACCCTCAGCATTCGTTGAAGAAGCACAGAATGGACAACGGGGATTACTACGAGAACGGGCATTTGGGTGAGTGTTGCCGCTTCCTTTTGTCGATACTCGGCCGCTGGCCGTCCCCCGATCGATCCGACCGGTCGCGCTTACGATTCCGGTTACGAGCGCGCGAACGACTTTTCGAGCGTTTTGCGGACCCCGGTTCTCTCGCGACGAGACGTTCGTATTTTACTATACGGCCGCGGGGCCCCGGACTCTCCTACGTGCTCGACGTTTTATGGAAATCGCACCGGATTTGATGACAGTGTTGCAGAACGTCGGCTGGTTATTTAAGCCGCCACGAAACGGACTTTGGATCCTAAATGAGTCGGGGCACCCAACGACTCTATTCTGCATTTTTCGTTCGCCATCTGTTATTTTATTCTCGCTCCTACGTTTATTCAAATTAACGTTAGCGATTTCTCTCTGTCTGAACAATATTTTGGAACGTTCGCGTCGACCAAAATTACGATCGAGCGATCCTTGGTGGTTCCTGAGCGATCGACGACATGAAACGCGTCGAAAGATATCTGGTGGGCTCCTCGTACGCAAAGTGTGTGCTCGGTCAGAGGCGAGTAGCCCTGGTACCAGGGGCACGCACTTGATTACTGCCATCCGTATACGCGCCGGGCCACGGTGACCCCACCGATCAATTAATTAGGGGAATCAAACACACTTGGAGTGAGCAAATTAACTGCAACTGCACCGTCGTGTTGCGGCCTGTGGCGGCGGTTGCCGATACCAGAATATCGGCACCGACGGCCGGCCGTGTTTCGCCGTTTATCGAACCAAACCCCTCGACGGTGAAAAATCCTCGGAGACGCGACGGTTTCTCGATGGTGCCCGGCGCCCGCCATTCCGAAACGGCTCCCGAGAGTCGTAAAATCGCGTCGACGATCGCCGTGTTCGGAAATTGGTTAAGCAAATAATCGCGAATACGCTGGCCGTTCAATTTTACGGGCAAATACGTTTGACGGTGCAACGTTAATGAATTAATGCCGCGCGGACGAGCGCGGGGCGCGCCGAGTTTCGGAACCGCGACTGCAGTCGGGGTAAACGCGGAAACGGCGAGCAATTAATTACGGGCCCGGGGTAATTGTATAATTGTTTTACGACTGGATCCCCGTCCGGGTACGATTGATCGCCAGCAACGCGCCCCTGTCCGACTGTTGCTCGATTTTCTTCTCGAACGTCAATTCATTTATTTAGGCACGGGATAAACCCTTTGATACGGGGAGTAACAGGTGTTGGGGGGGGAAAAAAGAAAACGACGTCGATCTAGCGTTAAGAGAAGGGAATCTGTTAGGCCTCGACTTTTGAGGTAAACATCTCTGCAACATCCTATCTAAACCAGTCCGCGCAGAACGCATTTATCGCGAGAGTAACGAGTATCGCCGTGAGAAGGATTTAGCAGCATCTTATCCGCGGCTACGTTCTCGGGGATCGAAAAGAGAAGAAAGGAAAGGGAAAATCGAGCCTGGCGATGGGATTGAGACGTGTTTCGATACTATCGTTACGATTGCGATTGAAATTTACAGGCTCGTGCAGAAGTTGTGGAATTGAACAAGATACCTTTGGCGCGGAATCCAATATTTATTATATCTCGACGTAGAAAAACCCCCCCGGAATAAGAACGGCGAGTCGCGAGTATAGCTTTGTTGGTGGCTAGGAATGGCGATAGAAAGCATTATGCGATCGGTTGGAGAGCGGTACGGGTCGCATACGGTGGATTTTTTTCAATTTGGACCGGTAGGCGAGCGGCTGGCGGCTGGCGGCGGACGGCACTTGCCATAACGCAATTAATAAACTCAACGAGCGAGATCCGATCCCGATAGCGGCGGCGTAACATCCATTCGGGAGGTAGCGGGGCACAATAGCCGTGTATACGCGCACGCAGCGGCGCGGACGGCCGATACGCATCTATGTTGTCTCTACGAAATTAAAACCGATGAGAAAAATAAATAGCCCGCGGTAGAGAAGGGGCTTAGAGACGGATAGAGAGAAAAAAACAAGGGTGTGAGAGAGAGAGAGAGGGGGTGTAGACGCGGGGGTTGCTCGGCTTAACGGCGTGTGCGCGCCGCGTGCACGGGTTCTCTCGATGGGAAGTCGCGCTCGTTCCTCGCGCCTTTTTCGACGTCGCCGCGGCTTACGTTCCGCGCCGATCGTTTTCCGATGAAAACTATTCCCGGACCTCTCCAACTAGCCCCGACCCACGTAATAAACTAATGACTATCGGCTAACGTCGAGCGGTTCGCGCGCGTTCCGTTCCTCTCCCGCCCCCGTCGTTCCCTGGCTCGTAATTATTTAATGCATCGATTACCGAAATAGCATTAATCAAATTGGCCGGCCGCAATTTATATTGTATGACCTAATGCATAGCGAATCGTACATTAATGCGCAAACTAAGTAAATTATCCAAGCACCCCGGCGTTTACGCGCCGCGGGACGAAAACCTTCGGGAATTTTCCCGTCTCGCGAGAAACGGTTCCGTTGCCGTCGAGGGGAAATCTATATCCGGCAATGCGTCCCGTTTGGACAGCGACGCACCGCGAGCCGGACAGCTCGCGGTTTTCGAATCGTTGCACGCCAAAGAGGGGCTGTACGAACGGGGGTTGAACAGAGACAGGGAACGCTCGCGACCGAGTGGGTGGCAGGGTGGTTTGGCCAGTCGCGGCTGCAACGACGCTGTACTGGCGAGCGAATGCTCATAAAAGCATTGATTAACTGTTGCCGGTCGTAGGTCAGCCAACGCGGTTGGCTCGTGTACCAATAAAACCCGGTTAATAGGGGGCCGACGTCGCTTCGATATCGCGCCATCGACCGTTCCCGAGACCTCTCCACTTTCCCGCCGCGACAATTTTCACGCTTCCGAGGGGCCAACTTCTGGTTCGACGGCCAGACCGGCCAACAACGCGCCGGGAACGCGGAAAACTTGTTCTCGGTGGTTTGGATAGGAAATTTCTTTTAATTTGAAGAAAACGCGAATAATTACCTCCACTCGTGTCGAAAGATTTTTTCACCTGCTATCGTATGTCGTTTATCATTTTTTCAAATTGAGAAAAAAACCGAAGACAGATGTACAATCGCTCGGCAAAAAGTGGTCTCGTCCGCATCGGCCATCCGGTGTTCTTGTTACCAACGGCCCCGCCTATAAAGCCATAAACGAAAGACAGACTGTTGACACGTCGATGCAGTATCTTCTTTAAGTCCGTTTCATATCGGGCAAGAACAATAATAATAAAGAAAACGAAAGCGTGCATGGTAGATCAGGAGTGCCGGGTAATGAGTGGAGAGCGAGTGTTATGGGCGTTTAAAAAATTCTCGAACAGATGCGTGTAAAATTAGATTAAAATAAAGATGGACGATTCGGTTGGGGAACGTGGGGCAGTACGGGAAGTTGTATTTTATTCCGTTAATACGCGGCGCGCGCTAATGGCGTCGATCGTAATTAGCGTCGAGCGCGTTTACGAATATCAGTCGATCGAAAAACTGCAACCGAAATGGACGCGAGGAAAATTTTTTTTAATTATTCGGTACGCGTACGGTAAAATAAAAGTACGTATGAAATACTCGAATCGTTTCGTATCGTTGGTGCTTAAATGGATTTCAATGGACACCGTTCCAAAGCATAAATTCGTTTCTCCCGACTCAGTTTCGGGGGCCGTTTACCAAATATCGCGATCCAGCGAGCGATCGCGCGCGGGAGGCCGCGAATTTGCGGTCGAGACGGAGCCCAGGATCGGATATCCGCGCGAAGTAATTAACGAATCCGTGGCAAGGGACGAGTCTCGAGCGTAGAAGGACTCGTTGGTCCTCGTGCAGAGGTTCTTTGTCAGTGGACAGGTCGTCGGAGTCGACTAAATTGGGGAGGAATCCTGCGGACGGGCGACGAGAACCACTGGCTTACGTGGAATTTTCACCCTGCGGTCAGAAATTACGCGGGGCGGACACGCTCGGACAGCGAGGGACGCGAAACCGAAGCCAAAACCGAGCAGACCGGGAGATTTGACGCGAAAGTGAAATAATCCTCGCGATTAAAGCGATAATAACGTCGCCCGAGATTATTACGCGGTCCGCGTTACATCGACGCAGTGGAGAGGGACGAGCGACGATTTCCGTTTCTCCGCGAATTATGCTCGACTTCCGCTCCCAAACTTCTTTATTTCTTTTTGCTCTCAAGCGTCATCAAACATTGTCAAACTTGTTAGAATCATCCATATCCAAATAACAAAAGTTTCGTTTAAGTGTACAGCAATTTTTGTTCTCCACAATATTGCAATTTATAGGGTCTGTTGCATCGATCTAGGTACAACATAGTTGCTTAGTGCTTCGCGATGGTCAACCAAAGTACAAAGCAAGGTTTAACCAGGTACCAGGGACGCGACGATTTATCGTACGATGAGTCGACGATGTACAACGATAATCGTACTCGACAATGTACTACGTTGTTTTTTCCGAGTAACGACCAGCTGTACGACAAATCGTACCTAAAAAAAGCAGTACCCTCGCTTCTGTTTCGAATCTGAAATCATACAGAGAATCCTTCCAACCGATCGCTGAACGGCCATGTTCGTTCCTACTTGACGTTCGTCACGCTCGCGGTACGCCGGATTTTATGGTAGCTTCTTACCAGAGCGAACCATTATATTCAGCAGCCATAGACGGCTTGAATTATTTCACAATGTGTCCGTACATCGAGTTGCAACGATGTCCAGTACTGTAATTCGGCGCAGCCGCGTCCAAACGACAGGTTGTACGACACCCTAACTCCGCACTTACGATCGTATCTGTTAGCTCTGTGAATCGCTTAGGGGTGTTCAAACATCGAGAAACTTTAAATAGATTTGAAAACGGATTCTATATATTTCGAAAGTCTCGTTTTGCAAACCAACCCTTCGAATGCTCGTGTATAAATGTAGGAAGAGAAAGGTTGAACATGTTTGGAATACGTTTTGGACTTCTGGTTCGTTGGTTGTATGTGCATAAAACGGGCGGTGCGGTCGCGCGAAGGGTTTAGCCCTCGCGGCGAGCAAGCT